ATTGGTGCGCCTAGGAACACAGTGTTTGCCATCTGCCATTCCTGAACGGTTTGCTGGAGGCTTGTCTTGTCAAGGCATGACCATAAGGCTGACCGGTTATGGGCTCTGACAGTATGGGAACACAAACCCCGGTTTTACCGGGGCACCCTTTTCGACCATTCGACCTAGTGCATATTCGGATCCATAGTGACCATTCCAAGTTAGGACAGGTTGCTTATCTAATTATAGGTTGTTTGAAACCACTGTGTGCGTAGTGAAACCCTAGTTCCTGACAAAATAGGACAGGAAAACCCTACCCCAACATAGGGGTGTTTTGGCTCTCTCTTACTTGCTATGTGCTTTTAGACTGTATCTCTACAGGAATGCATATACCAGTTTGCAAGTCTGGGTATCAGGCCTGTGGGCATCAGCATCAGTATTTGGGGAATCAGTTTCATCCGAGGGTATCAGTTTACAGGCAGATATTTGGGAAACAGTGATCAGTATTGAGTACAGTCATCCTAGTATGCTCAAATCCGTTCTAGTGAAATTGTGCTAAGATGCTGTTTGTTTTCTCTTTTGCTAGGTAGTCCTGGAACTATAGCTTCAGAAGGCTCCAATATCCCCGGGGTACATTGGACTAGTGTTGATAGACTTTGTTAGGTCAGAAATTCAATTCAAAGGCAACCAGTGTTCTTTCGCTGAGGCAAGGCAAGGCCAGTCGGGGCTCACCAGTCCATCTGATTCGTCAGTCACCAGTCACATCACCTTTGTTTAGACTCAGCAGACCATGATGGCCCAGGGCTCGGAAGAATTTGTGGCCGTGATAGCAGCATTAAATCAGGAAACTGCCATGCAGGTTGAGACCAGTATTGGAATGCAGCGTCCATCTGGGGCATCTACCTCATATCCAGCTTTGGGACCCCAGCCAAACTTTGACCCACTTCCGCCAGTTGAAGATTTGCAGTGTCCGAATCCTCGAGAAAGGTTGACTCAAGCTCAGGCGCTCTGACCCTTGGTACAGCCTAATGAGAGGCTTTATTCCCTTGATGTTAATGAGCTCAATTCGACTGTAGTGAAAATTGCAAACCTTGAAAAGCACTTCAAAAAGGCACAGGGCCTTAATTCCATTCCCGATATTGAGGATGGGCACACTAAGTCTGCTGTACAGCTCCCAGACAGATTCAAAATGCCATATATTGACCGTTTCGACGGGTCTGGAGATCCAATGGTACATATCCGACTTTTCTTGGATGTCCTGAAGCTGATGGGTCTAACTAAGCCACAGAAACTCTCTCTGTATGGAAGAACCCTGTCGGGCGTAGCAGCCACTTGGTACGCTAAGTTGGAAGATAAAGTGAAGCAAGATTGGGAAGAATTGGCTGAGGCCTTTGTCGATCAGTATTCCTACAATACCCAAGTTGAAATGACCATGCAAGAGCTTGAAACAACCCGCCAGAACCCAACAGAGTCTTTTGTGGAATTTGTAGCAAGGTGGAGGGCAAAGGCAGCACAGATGACAGATCGGCCTTTTGAGAGGGATCAAGTGCAGATGATGGTGCGAAACCTCGAGCATGATATGTTGCAAAAGTTGATAGTCGCTCCGTTATTCACTTTCAAAAGTTTACATGAACTGGGGGTTCAGATCGAGAATGCGTTCAACAGTGGGATCATTCCCAGAACAAGTGAACCGACAAGGAGGGCGATTGCAGGGAGTACCAATGTTGGTAGTAGCGTCATTCCCAAACCCACCGAGATCAATGTAGTCGCCACAGCCAACCCTTTTGCCAAACCAAGCCTACAAACCGCCGGCCCAGCCCGAGCTCAGGGCAGAACTTTCAGAGAACTTGTCATTTCATATCATCAGGAAATAATTGAGGCTAAACACAACCTTATAGAGTTCTTATTCACTATCTGATTAAACTTGCATTATACTTTATACAAAAGATTCACAAGTATGCATATACAAAGGAGTACATATATTTAGATAATTGCAATGCAAGTAGTTCACAAACTTATATCACATAATTACTCAAATCGAAACACTTAAGCATATTCTTGATGCTTTCAAGGTTCATATCAAAATAGTTAGGCATATTATCAATGCTTCCAATTTCATGTTAATGCATCCTAGATCTCATCTAGACGCTTATTGCTCTTTTTGGACAAGTGTGTGAGTTATTAACTCGTGCTCTGATACCACTCTGTCACGACCCGAACCCGCCCCCATGGGTTAAGGATGTAACCGGCCAGTAATCATGAGATTACCTACGGCCTCAAACCAAACCAAATGTATTTTAACAGAGTTAATGGGGGCCAAACGGAAGCAATTTAAAACTTTGTCCATAGAGCCGTGCTTATATGCACTTTAAAACAAACCATACGCATATACGTTAATAACCCACAACGAAATGCAGTACCAGAAAATCCTTTACAGACAGGATCATCTAAACTGAGTCAACCCATATCACAACTACATACCGATATACACAAGATCCTTGCCAACAAGACAAAATGGAAATACATAACAGAATGGCAAGGTTGAGTCTCGTGCGTGAGACACAAGGCTGACTCTCCAAACTCATGTTGTTCCTGGCAGACTTCACTGGGGCTGGGTTTGGACTTCTCTTGGCTCACCTACAAACACATGAATGAGTGTGAGCGATAGCCCAGTGAATAATGTCAAATACAGAAGTCATATAAATAATATGTAGAACAACATACTCCAAACGGCCTTGGGCCCAATTCATTTTCCTACTTAACAGATATATAGCTAAATATAAATCAAGTGACTGTAACTCCAAACATTCTGGCCTTTGGCCCATTCAGATCTCCATTCTTGTCAAAGCGGCCTTCGGCCCATTCGATTATGTGAAAACGGCCTTTGGCCCAATCATTTATGTGAAAACGGCCTTTGGCCCAATCATTTATGTCAAAACGGCCTTTGGCCCAATTATGTACGTCAAAACGGCCTTCGGCCCATTCGATTATGACAAAACGGCCTTCAGCCCAATCATTTATGTCAAAACGGCCTTCGGCCCATACATTCGTATCAAAACGGCCTTCGGCCCATACATTCGTGTCAAAACGGCTTTTGGCCCATTCATTTATGTCAGAACGGCCTTCGGCTCACTCATTTATTTCAAAACGGCCTTCGGCCCACTCGATTATGACAAAACGGCCTTCAGACCAATCATTTATGTTAAAACGGCCTTCGGCCCATACATTCGTATCAAAACGGCCTTTGGCCCATACATTCGTGTCAAAACGGCCTTTGGCCCATTCATTTATGTCAGAACGGCCTTCGGCCTACTCATTCATTTCAAAACGGCCTTCGGCCCACTCATTCATGTCAAAATGACCTTGGGTCCATTTATGTTTATCAAAACGACCTTGGGTCTATTTATGTTTATCAAAACGACCTTTGGGTCCATTTATGTTTATCTAAACGACCTTGGGTCCATTTATGTTTATTCATATCAGACTTACGTCCATAATCCCAATTAGCAATTCATAAAGCTTATAAGGGAATAGACAATTGGACATTCACAAGCATTCAAATATCGATATTACTCACAGTGATCGGCTTGTGGATTTGCCCTAGAGCTTGACCCTACACGTTTCATGAACACAAAAGGGTCATTAACATTTCAATCCGTTCTTTAATTCACATATTCCTCTTTAGGCTTTATTATTATCTCATTAACTCATTTACAATGCTTAACATATGCCTAAGAATGCTTGCAAGTGAAAGAGAACGGAAAACAGAACACAAAATGCAAAAACAGGATTTCAGAAAATAGGGTCCCCGCTCGAGCGGACCCTTAGGTCTGCGAAAGTACTGGTTGCCTTCAATTCCAGCTCGAGCATGAACTCGGCCGCTAGAGCGGACTGCCTGTCTACATAGCTCCCCGCTCGAGCGGGAACCATGTCTACAGAAAATGCTGGGAGCTCGATTTCTCCGCTCCAGTGGCACTTCACCCGCTCGAGCGGACATCGAAAATCTGGGTTTTCCAGATTGAGTTCTTGAGCTTCATCTCGACATTCAAAGGCTCTAAATGCATGATTTCAGTCCAAACTTCACATAATCATGTACTAACATGGTACAAACATATAATTACAACATATTGAAGCTCAATTTCATAATTTATCTACATGCATGGCTCATTTTCCACCAACTCATTACCAATGTAACCATTTCATGCATTCAAAGCTTCTACTTCCATGGATTGTACATGCATGTGACATATAACCTTCATTCTCGTCTCATATGATGAAAAGATGGTCAAATATATGGATTTCAACCAAAATTGCAACATGAGTCATGTAATTCAAGCTCAAATATGCAAATTCAAAACAATACATACATGCATGCATATATAGTCTTCAAATTCATCAAAACCAACTCCTTTCATGTTCTAGATCACAAATTAATCTTCAATTCACGAAATCACAACTCAAATTCATGAGTTAGGGGTTGGTTGCTCAGCTAGGAGCTTTAATCTTCCAAACTCTAGTCAATTCTTGAGTTAAATCTTCAAATTCCCAAGCTAGAGCCAAAAATTGCTCAAGTCTCTTCCTTTCTCTCTCTATAGCCGGCCTCTCTCTCACTCTCAATTGTCTAACTCAGATTTTGAGTTTTAAGAGAGCTAAAGGAGAGTGCAATGCAAATATACAACAAGCCCCACTAACAAATATTTTAATATAAAATAATGGGGTACTTAATTTATCAATTTAATCAGTTTAAATTGACCAGAATCAATTTTCAATTAAATTTCACCGTAGGCTCTAAAAATTATGCCAACCACAATGGCGTAATCAATTTCGAGTTCTGTGGCCGATAAGGCCCTCAATTTAACTCCAAAGCAGATTATTCAAACAGATATTCCTACGGTGGACAGATAGAATTCTAGAATCACATATATCACATAATGGCACACCAAATCATATCAAACATATAATCAAATTCATATTAAGGGCCAATTAACGCATTACGGAACAGGGGTATTACAATACATGTGTCATGCGATATCAACAACATCAAATGTCTCTCGAGTAGCTACATTATCATGAATAATGTCCTTGAAATGTTGAATGCGATGCGCATATGCATCATCCCAGTCGACAGCGCAAGGTGAACGGTATTTTCGCCAATTAGTGGCTATAGGAGGAGCTGGATGGCCTGGCTGCAACAAAACCTGCACCAAATATCAATTAACAATTGAGTTAGTGGTCATACCTCATAACTTATTGTACATGCACAAACCCAATTGATAAGTTTCTGTTATACCTGGAAGAAATGATTTCCGTTTACAAACCCAATGGCAATCTCACGTCTATCAAGTTGAGGTACTGGCACTGTTCTAAGAGGTAAAAAGGTGAGACATTGCTGTAATGACAAGTGGTATAACACAAGATTGTAGCACGATGCAACAAGATGCCCCATGTCCGGCATAGTCATCCAATGTGAGTATCCAGGACTGTCTTCAAAGTATGACAATATGCTTGTCAATTCTTCAAACCTTTCCTAGTACCCATAAAGTGTAATGTATTCCTCTTTGTGTGTGTGCAGCTCACCCAACAGATCACGCCTAACCTGAGCCCAATCATCTTCTGTATGACCAATTGAAACAGCTATAGCCCTGAAACCACAATTCCCATCTGCAGCTACATCCTTGACAAACTTAATGTATGGTTTCAATCCAGCAGGGAAAGCATCAACATATGCACTTGGTTTCACTGTTCTATTAATGTATACCTTCCCTTTCGGATTCACCTTCTCCTTTTCCTTAACAGGTCGTTTCTTCTTGGTTTGCAGAGTAGAAGCTAATGTAGTGATTTGAGTGTCCTTAGGTGAGAAGGAATCATGTCCAGATTACACCAACTCAAATGCACACGGGTCACGACAGGTAGAAACATTGATCTTCTTATGATCCCGAGGACGTGTTTTGGGTTTCACCTCCGGCTCAACAAGAAAAGTGCTTCCCGGATATACAATCTCTTTCAACTTCTTCAAAATCTCCAACCGCATGGTTCTATCACTTTCATTAAACTTGTTCACAAACAACTCTACTTCTGCATGACAAGTCACCTTCGTTTCCTCTTCTTTCTTGCATATGGAGATATGAAGTTGCCTCCACTGTGAGTGTATGGTAGCAAGTGGTATAGGACGATCTTGTCTGATGTAGTCAGCAATCTCATGGGTACAAGGTAAACCATGAGTGTGGCGAAGGACGCATCCACAAGCTTCAACATCAATACCAATGGAATTGGCTCTCTTACTGTCTACAAGCAAATACTCCAATGCAGAGATAGACACATTACCCCGTAGCTCCCTGAATTGAGAAGGTTTAAATTGATGTTGCACAATAGTTAGACTTTTCTCAAATGAAGCCTTGATATCAGTGTGTTGCAACTCAAGCAGACTGTGTATTTTCTCAAATGATGCCTGAAATGAGACTTGACATGAACCCAATTGTCTTTTAAGTTTTGCATGTGCACTCTCAGCCCTGTTCAATTCAATGTAAGTCAAATTAAAATCAAGTACATGGCACTTATTAATAACATATTGAAGAAAAGTAACATTGCCACAATGCATACACGTGTCTGTCCATGCCGCCACAAATTTGTCCTTGTAAGGAACCGACCAAGTATCCATGACGTATTTGACTGCATCAGGATAACTACTGAATTCCTTAAGTACTGATTTAAGACGCTCATTGTATTGAATTTCAGAAGATGAATACACTAAAGAGTTCCACTCATGGTTGAACTTCTCCCATTTCTGCTGTGTCTCAAACATTTTCTTGCAATTGGTCAATACATTCTTACTGATATGCCAACGACATAATAAATGTCTAGAACTCGGGAATATCTTCTGTATGGCATTCATCAAGGCTAGCTCTCTGTCAGTAACAATAATTGTTGGCATAACAAACCCATCCATGACATCACGCAATGTAGCTAACACCCACGCATAGTTATCGACCCTTTCATACTATAAGTATGCGAAAGCTACAGAGAATGTCATTTCAGTTGATGTCACTCCCACAATTTCAAGAAGAGGAAGACGATATCTGTTGGTTTTATATGTGCAATCCATAATTAATATACATAGGAAAGACCGAAATAACTCCAAACTGGTAGGATGTGCCCAAAACAAGTCTGTCACAGTCATCGTGGACTCTTCAGACCGATGGCGCTCAATGTAATTATACTTGGCCAATTCACCTAATAAGTGTTTCATATGTGATCTTTCAGCTCTCTGTACCACCTTGTTTCGATGGCGTACATTGTAAATGGTTTTAAGTGTGCTTACATTGAGGGCATCTCGCTGTTTCAAGGTTACTAGGATTTCTTTTGGCCGAACCATGCTCTCTAACATATCCATTAACAATGCTTTCTCATCCTTTGATAGCCTCCCCGCATATGAATGTCCCTCAAGGTGCTCCGTAGGTGGATGATTATGCAATCCGCATACTACGGTCAATGTCCATTCATCATGTGTGGGAAACCTGTGCGCCCTCATATCAAAAGGACAACCACACTTCTTCGTACCGGTTATTCTTGATTTATTGTTGCCATCATGTTTTAAATAGTTGTCTGAATTTATTTTAAAATTTTGGAAGTTGAATGTTGTAAAGGTTAACTTTGTTCGGACAACAACTTCCGAATTTAAATACTATGTTCAGACAACAACTTCATAAATTAATTACTTTGTTCGGACAACAACTTCCGAAAATAAATACTTATTTCGGTAGTAGATTTCTGAACCAAATAATACAATTCGACTCTGGTTATCCGAACGATGCTGGAAAAAAAAAGAGAGAGAGAAACTCACATTTCCTTCGCTATGTTTCTCATAAACACTTATTTGCTGATTTTCAGAAGGCAAATCCTCCATAACAATGATGCTTTCTCTACAAATGAGGAAGGTTGATGAATGAGTGCATTGAGAAGCTGCAATGCATGTGCAATACGGAAATGCCAAAGCCCTTTGGTTTCACTTCTAGCTCAATGAACTTGGAAGAAGCTACGAATGACTCTGCTTTCACTTCTAGCTCAATGAAGCTACAAACACGATGCAACAGATGTGAACTCTAGAGGGATGTGTCATTAAGATGTTTTGAATCAACAATGATGTCTAAAATAGTAATTTCACTTAGGGATACAATTGTAATAAAATTAAATATCATTAAGTGTGTGCAAAGAGGGTATTTGGTGTGTGTAGATAGAAGCTCCCTCAATATAGACAACCAGTGATTAGAGATACCAACGCGAATCAATCGCAAAGCAACTGAGATGGAGAGATGCTATGGTCGGCGAATACCAAGGGAGACACACGACGACGATAGTGCTAGGGCTCGCGAAGTAGGACTTACGAAGAGCAGAGGCAGAAATCGATCGACCAGAGTCGAACCATAGAGAGACGCAGCAGATGAGGTCGCGATTGAACAGAGACCGAGATGCAGAGGGTTTCGAATACAAAGATGAACCAGAAGAAGCAAACCCACTACGGCTAGGGTTTCGAATCAGAAAGCTAGGGTTTCAAACCAAGCTCTGATACCATGTAAGTATTTATGAATGATTTGTATATTCAACTTGTATATGAATTACATCAAGACTAGTTTATATAACCCTAACAACTAACCACAAAGGAAATACACCAAAAAAAGGAAATACAGTCATCACAAACATGCCTAATATATACAATGCCTAATATATACGAATATAATCTCACACCCCAAACTTTAAGAATGGTAGCTAGAGCCATTGCAAATTTGTGTGGAAATGGTAAGCTCAAGGTGATTCTGCTGTTGACGTAAATCATGTTGTTGGATGGGTTTAGATACCAAATGTACTTCAATCTCATCTCTAATGCCTTGATTAATATTGCAAGTTATATGAAACGTTTTGTTATATCAAATACTTGGTAAATTTTGAAAAACTTGTCATCACCTGTCATGTTGAGATACTTCTGCTCTGGTCTTATGTACTACATAAACAAATTGTTGTTTGGTGGCTTGTATTTACTATACACTCAAGAGTACTGTAAGCCCTGAAGATTAGGTCGTATATGTTGTAGTTATCAGGTCGGGTTTCATAGAGTGTTACAGAATACATAGCTGTGTTGAGAGGTTGAGAGTCATGTAATCCTTATAGAGTATGGTAGATTTCGTTTTCTATCTACCATGGATGTATGCATCCTGTCAAACTATGTATATCTTGTGTTCTTGTTTTTTGTGTGCGTGCTTGTTCTTTTATTTACTACTTTATCGTGTGATTGAAACCACAATTTTGCACAACACAAAGCCACCTGTTGTTAAAGTGTTTCATGAGCATTAGAAAAGTAATCCTATGTGGAACAGAGTCTTTAATATTGATGCAGAGCTCTTTATTTCACAATAGAGAAGTTACATGTGATGCTTAGAGAAGATGGAGGCATCAAGGCACTCTTGGGATTGCTTTAGTAGCCGAAGAAGCTGCACATAATTTTGAGAGCATGCCTCCCACTGATGCTGTGACCCAGGTTCTTCAGATTCTGAAAGGTGTGAATATGTATGTGTGTATGTGTGTGTATGTCCATTTATGCTTCGTTTCAATCTTTGAGTTTGAAACCTTTCTTCTTCTTTTTTCACTAGCATATTATGAGAGCTTTTTGTTAAATGGATTGAGCCTATAAATGATGCATAATTGGATAATGTACAAATTATCCTCTTGTAAATTTGACAAGGCTAATAGTTCCTAAATGGTGAACGTTGGAACTATTCCAGATGACTTTTCAGTGCTCGGTGCCCACATAATTTATTTGGCAATGGATTTGCTTAGTTCCATTGCCTTTTTCAACCTGAATTTATTACTGAGTTCAACCTAGTTGTTTTCTATATATATGTATTTATGTTTGTGCTTGTTTTTTGAAGAGGTTAAATTCTCAATATGCTTGGGGTAAAATTATTCTCTTGTTTTGAAAGACTTGCAAGTAGTATCACTTATTAAGTGATCATTAGTACATTGAGATTTTGGGTCCAATGCTTGCAGGTGTATATGAACCACAAGGAATTAATGTCCCAGAGCCTATCCAAATTGTCTGTACCAGATGGGGTACTGATCCTTTCAGCTTAGGTTCTTACTCTAACGTCGCAATCGGGGTATCAGGAGATGACTGTGATATCTTAGCAGAGAGTTTAGGAGATGGAAGAGTTTTCTTTGTAGGGGAGGCAACGACTAGGTGTTACCCTGCAACTATGCATGGAGCCTTTATGAGTGGGCTAAGAGAAGCTGCCAATATGGCTCACTATGCTACTGTCAGAGCCTTGAAGCAAAAAGTAGAAAAGAGTCCATCAAAAAATGCACACTCTTGTGCTCTCTTCTTGCAGATTTATTCATGATTTGGAATTTGGGAGTTTTTCTATAATTTTTGGTAGCAACGCTGCAGATTCGCAGTCTACAGCAGTTTTAAGGGTGACATTTAGTGGCCCACGAAAGAAAAATCATGAAGATCCAAAGACAGATCAATCGTACTCTAATAAATTACTTTTTCAGCAGCTTCAATCCCATTTTAATCAGCAGCAGGAGTTTCATGTTTACACTTTGTTATCAAGACAACAGGTGCTTGAGCTGAGGGAAGTAAGAGGGGGTGATGAGATGAGGTTGAACTACCTTTCCGAAAAGCTTGGAGTGAAGCTAATTGGGAGAAAAGGTCTAGGGCATACTGCTGATTCAGTTATTGCTTCTATTAAGGCCGATAGGGTCAATCACAAGTCTTCTTTGACTCTTAAATCTGGTAGGTGCTTTGAGATTAACCGAATAAATTTTAAGATTTGGTCATGAAACTTGAAATTAACATTTTACATTTTCTTTTGAAAAGGGATATCCAAGCCAAAATCAGCTACTTCAAAGCAAAAATTGGTTAGGTATGATATGAATATCTTAATTAATATCAATTATGTGTCTTCATCTCAAAACATCTATTGGCTAATTTCAGGAAGGCCGAAGTAATGTGCTTCAACAATGAGTTTACTCCTCCGAAATCAGGTGGGGGAGCTATGGTGCTAGGAGTTTTGTGCTTTTGTGAGTGTTTGGAAAGTTGTTATTTTAGTAGGCTATTTTAGTTTTTGACTATTTTAGTAGGCTAAAATTTTTGTGTTTGGGAAGATGATTGGATTTTTTTGTAGTTAGATGCGATGTTTGTGAGAGAAAAAGTGAAATGATTATGGGTTTGATGTGACATTTTGTCTTATTAGCTATTTTAGCCTATTTTGTCTTTTTGTGAATTTTTGCCTAAAAGAGGCTAAAATTTTTCTTGCCAAACACCCCCTTTGTTTTGTTCTTTCTCCTTCTTTGTATGAGGACTTCATGTCCTCTTTCATCTTTCTTTTTTAATAAAATTTTTGTTGATGCTCAAAAAATAAAAATAAAAAGAAATGAAAGGAAGGGAAAGGCGTTGTTCGGGGAATGGCATTAGGTCTCTCTCTTCCCCAAATCAAAACTTGGGCTCTAAAATAGTTGGAAATATCGCTAGCTCTACCCCTTCTGTGAATGCACCTGTGGGTGGTTTACATGGCTCACTTTCTCCTCCCAGTTTAAATATGACAAATGGTAAAATGGCAGAACAAATGTAGGAACAATTGTAGAGAAAACGTTGCAACTAGTTCCTTGATTGAGGGAAATTCCAGCTTATTTGTGTCAGGTAATTTGAAATTTACTTGAAATGCTCAATTCATATTTGGTGCTTATGAAAGTCAAATGCAAATTTACTTCTTCGTGTCGTGGTTCACTAGGGGGATTTTAACCAAGTAAATTGTGATGTAAGAGTACCCAAGCTTAAGTTTACTTGGTCATATTTATAGAGTATCTTCTGTGTGCGTACATGTGTATTTGTGTATGAGTCTATGTTTGTTTTATTTTATTTCATCTTATTTATATTTGTGGTATAGATTACAGTAA